GTTTCCCACCCTGGGGGCTTCCGGTTCCACCAGGTCCCCGAGGTGGGTGTCCCTCCCTGGGTGGGCCTGCTGGGTTTCTTGAACAAACACCTGCCTTTCTCCTGCATCTGGCCAACAGGGTTGTCTAAGAATGCCCCCGGCTATGTGCAAAAATAAACTCAGTTTGCAGTTTGTCCTGGCGGGAGGGCGTGTGTTGTGTGGGGGTGAGGTGGGGCAGGGAGTGAAGGCGAGGCATCTGGTATCCCGTTGTCAGCAGCAGGACAGAGTGGGAGGCTGTGGAGGAGAAACAGAGGGAGACTGGCACTTCATGCCAGGAAGGGCCATCGGCCCGCCGTCTTGTCTTTGCTGCCCTTGAACTTCCTCACCGCCGCCATCAGACATAACCACAGTGACTGCTGCGGCAGCAATGCCAGTGCTAGTTGACTGCCGAGCGCTTGCCATCTACCAGCGCTGTGCTGCCCACTGCCCACGGAGGAGAGTCCAGTTTCACAGGCAGTCACGAGGCTGCACCACTGTGTACCATCAGTCAGGAAAGCAAATTCTCAGGCCCCCACCCCAGACCAATACAACTAGAATCGCATCTAGCAGGGCCCCGGGTGATTTGGGAGCACATTCAAATTGGAAGAGCCTTGTACGACTGCACCCCAATCCCAGCAATAGCTCACCACTGTAGGCACAACTAGTACTGGTAGAGACTTTGTGTCCCCAGGGCTTTGTACACAGAATCTCATTTGAGCTTCATCGGCTTTTTGAGGTGGGTATGATTATCACTCTAAAATGGCGGAGGAAAAATGTAGCTCAGAGAGGTTAAGTAATTAGTCCGAGAACATACAGCTGGTAAGTAGCGGGAGTGGGATTTGAACCTAGTCTCTCTGAGTTCGTAGTCCTTTTAGCTCCCGCACACCCACCCCCCCAGGCTTTCTGCTCTTGCATCTCTTATCTTATGCAGGTGACTGTGGACATGGAGTCTGTCTCCCTTTCCCTCACCCTGAGACAGCCACTGGCCTCCTGGGAGGAGTGACTGGGTTTGTTGCTATTCCCAGTTTCAAATCCATGGTGCTGGGGTGGGTTGGGGGCGCTTGCACTGAGAAAAGTGCAGACTCCTAGTTCAGATCTCCTGCCATGCAAGCCACCAAGGCTGGCTCCAAGTTTCCAGGGGACTGATGATGTTGGAGGGCCAGTGTCTCACTCAGATGCTGCCAGGCTGGGATTGCAATGCCCACTTCACTGTCAAGGGCACCGAGCCTAGCGTGGTTTCTGTCCATGCCCCAGGGTTGACGGTGGCAGACGAGCTCAGCAGAAGGAGCACTGGCTTGGCAGTCAGGCCGTTCTGGGCTCCGCTCCTCCAACCTTGCAGCCATTCTGGGTCTATGGCAGGCAGCAGTCTCTAGCCCACGGCCAATCTCACCCTGCAACCCATCTGTGTTTGGCCCTCAGGCTAAAAACAGTTTCCACACTTTTTCAGTGGGTGAAAAACAACAACAACAACAAAAAAAATGGAAAATCTTTTGTGGCTGCAAGAAAAAATATGTAAAAGTCAAATTTCGGGGTTCATAAAGATGCATGGGAACACAGCCACTCTCATTTATTGGTACGGCTGTCCCTTGGTATTCCAGGGAAGAATTGGTTCCAGGGCTCTGCCTCCCTCCTAAACTTTGCAGCCACTCAAGTCCTTCCTATAAAATGGCACAGTGTTTACACAGAGCCCATGTACACCGTTCTGTATACTTTAAACCATCTCCAGATCGCTTAAAATGTCTAATACAATGGAAATGCCATGGAAATAGTTGTTACTTAGTATTATGTAGGGTGCAGCAACAAGGAAAAATGTCTGTACCTGTTCCATAGAAACACATTTTTTTCCTCATCCATTTTCTATCCTGTGTCGGTTGAACCCTCAGATGCATAACCCGTCGACAGGATGCTGATTGTGCATTGTTTACAGCTATGTCGTGCTCTAAGAAGAGGGCTGAGGCCAGGCGAGGTGATACCCACCTGTCATCCCAGCTACTGGGGAAGCTGAGGCAGGAGGAAGAGCTCAAGGCCAGCCTGGGCAACACAGCGAGACCTGTCTCCAAAGAAAAAGTAAAGGGTGCTGGGGACATATCTCAGTGGTAGAATATCCTTGGGTTTGATCCCCAGGATAGGAAGATGAAGAAGAAGAAGAAGGTGAGAAAGAGGAAGAGGAAGAAGAGGAGGAGAGGGGAGGAGGAGGAGGAATGAGCAGTTGGAGTACTGATTCTATCCCTTGACAAGTGCAGGTTATTCCCTATTTGGCTCTTGACAGAAAATGTTTGGCCACCCCCAATCTAGGGTAGTGATTCTTAAAATTTGTTTTGTTTGTTCTTTAAGTACTAGGGATGGAGGCCACCGAGCGATATTCCCAGCTATTTTTCATTTTTCTATGTTGCCCACATTGGCCTCAACTTGCAATCCTCCTGACTCAGCCTACTGAGTAGCTGGGGTTACAGGTGTATGCCACCGAGCCTTGTTTTCAGTTTTCGCTTTTTGTAGTGCTGGGGATTGAACCCAGAGCCCATGAGCATGTAGGTGAGTGCTGTAGCCCCTGGAGCGGTGATTCTCAAATGTTTGAGGGCTTTTAGAACACAAACTGTTACCCTTGCCCAGATTTCCTGCTTTGGCAGACCTGGGGTGGGGCCAGAGCCTGTGTCTGTAACAGTTCATGGGTGGCACTGATGCAGGAACCAGCTGGAGAGCATGGGCTCCAAAGCTGACCCTCAGCCCCATCCTGGAAGTTAGCAGCCCACCCAGAGAGCGGTGAGGGCTGTGGGAGGGGAGCCAAGGGAAGCGCTCCCAGGTCCCACCTGACCACCCTGCCACTTCCAATCTGCTTCCCCTGGTGTCTACTCCCCCCTGGTGGCAGCGAGCCTGGAGCTGGCCTGCTATGCTCAGCCCTGACAGCACAGGGCTTGCTGAGGAAACACATTCAAAGCCTTTGAAGTCTGCAGACCTTGTATTTCCGGAGTCCGTTTCTAGGAATTTAACCCAAGAACGGAGGACACATGCCAGGACATCAGCGTCACCTGCTTTGTTTATAAGAGGAAAGAATGGGAGACCAGAGCCAGGCACTTGTAGCCACACAGCTGCGAAGAAGCCTAGGCAGGATTTGAACGTGGGTCTGCTTGGTTCAAGAGCCAGTGCCCCCTAGTGCCACCCAGCATGGCCCTTCAGAGTACTTCCTGTTTGCTGTACTAAAGCATCCAGATGCCTGGCTTGGATTCTGAGTCTGTCCCTACTTGGGTGACATCGGGCAAGACACTCAACTGCTCTGTGCCTCTGTGCTCCTGTCCGCGAAAGGGCAACATGATCACGAAGGTTACATGGGTTGGCACGAAGCACATGGAGCCTAACACTGCGTGAGCAGAGATCATTATCACTTACTATGCCCCACCTTCCTTCTTCTTTGTCCTGTTCCCTCCCTTCCTCTTCCGAACTGGTACAAAGCATTACAGGTCACTAGGCAGGTTTGCTGGTCAGGAGCAAGTGGGTGAAGGTGGAGAAGCCAGATTTGGCCCCGGAGTCCAGAGGTGGCAGAAAGGATCAGCTGCTCTGAGAGCCTGGACCTTGATCAACCATACAGATTAAACACACTGGGTCTAAATCCCGGATCGCTGGGTGACATCCCTCCCTGACCAATAGGAAAAGGACAATGGCTCCTAAAGTGTGGTCCCCAAAATAGCACCACGGGGAACTGGTAAGAAACACACATCCTAGTGAGCCCTCTTGGCAATTCTGACGCTCACTAAAGATGGGGAACTGCTGGGCTTGCCTGGCCACCCCCCGGGCTCCTTGGGACTGTGAAGGAGGAAACATTGGCCCAGGGAGCTGTGTCACGGGGTCACAGACACTTATTGAGTGGCTTTCTGTGCATTTTGGGCTCTGAGTGGGTGCAGAGATGAGCAGAGTCAGGAGCTGCGGCCCAGCTGGGAAGCAGGGATGGGTGAGAATGAAACTCCAGATTCAGCCCTGGGTGCTCAGACCTGAGCAAGTGAGAAATGGGTCTGGAAGAGGTCAGAGGAGGGAGAGGAGGAGAGAGGGCTGGGGTGGTGCAGCCTCAGGGAGGAGTTGTGGCCCGAAAGGTTTGAAAGGATGTTTGCCTGGACAGGGTGCAAGGATTCTAGGTGAGGGAATGGTGACAGGAAGGGAGCTGCAGGTCACATGGGCTTGTTAGGAGGCAGAAGGGCTCAGCGGAGTGAGGCAGAAGGCCCGGTTCTTGGGATCCTATATCCAGTGGGCGGTGGGGAGCCACTGAAAGTCATGAGCAGAAGGGTGCATCTGTTCTAACTGGGTAATGGAGGGCTGCACTGGGAAGATGATAAGAGAAAAGGCATGTGGGAAAATCAAAGGAAAACTGCTGTTCCCGGGTCCTTTGGAGCAGGATCCCTTGATCTTTTGATGGGATCATGGGAAATGCCAGGTACATTTTGCCTTCAAAGAGGTCTCAGGTCATCTGCCTGAGAATTCCAGCTCTGCTGTGTGATTGTAGACAACCCCTCCTTCCCTCAGGTCCTCAGTTTAACCCTCTGTAAACTGGGTGCAGTGCGACCTCTCTCTGAGGAAGAGTGTGGAGATTAAGGAGGATGAGAAAAGGGTCTCACCAGGCCCTGGAGCACAGTAAGTGTCCCTGTCCCTGCCTTCCGCTGTGTGGCTGTCCCAGAGCAGGATACAGACCCGCTGACCTTCCAATAGTTCCATGGAATTTCTGCATCTAGAAGTCATTTACACATTCATTGTTTCGTCATTCAATCAATCAGCATTTCTGAGCACCTAATGTGTGTCGGGGCACTGGGACCCAGAGGTGAATTAGATACTATCTTTTGGCTTTCAAGAGTTTATGAACTCATTCACTGCCCACCATTCACAGAGTTCTATTCTGTGCTTTGCCA